ATGAAGAGGGCATTTAATTCTCTTGGAGAAAGGTCATTTAGTTATTCATTGTGAACTGTTGAACTCTGCTTCCTAGGACTTACATATTTTGAACTGGTTCTTAAGCAGAGCAAAATATAGGGGTCAATCATATAAATATGATGTGACTGCCTGCTAATTATTTACTTGTGAAATATGAACTCACCCCTCTAAACGAGATAACAAGGTTTTATTGAGGGACAACGTCAATAAAGCAAAAGCAACAGCACTAAGCGCATGATCGTAGAGAGGCGCAAGTGATTAGTATTTGTTACAGGTTTATATACTTTCATTATTATACATATTCATAATTCCCGCATATAGGCAGGGGATATTGTAACTAGCTCCAAGAACTTATTATCATAAGTCCCCTCCTCTTGGCATCTACGCAGTGCTCTCTGGTGATTGTGGGCAGGGGTCTTGAGGATGAAGTAAGCAGTCTTCCTCTTGTGAGCAGGGGTTTTCAAGATGAAGTAAGCAGTCTTCCTCACAGTGTATTTTTCATCTTTTGCACAGTTGGACGCCCCAGTAATCACACAACTAGCTGAAACCAGCCATATCTGTAATTCTTCCGATAACTAGCAAAGATTTAAAACAGTGTGTCCTTCCTGCAAAATTTATTGAAGGATGGGCAGACAAGGAGTATCCCAAGCTAGCAGATGTTCTGTCTCTAAATTAACTGATAAGTAGAAGGATGCTGTGAAATATTCATGTTTAGTTGGGCCACTAAATCCTGTTATCTCACCACGGATTTGTAACACAAACATTGTTCTTTAAAACTAAAGATACTTTAGAAGACTAGTGTGAAACAATTAACTCATGTTTAATGAGGCCACTACATTCCACAGACCTACAACATAAACATTGTCTCTTTTTACAACCTAAGTTAAGCTAAAAAGTATCACAGTATCACAGTATCACGGTATGCTAGAGATTGGAAGGGACCTCAGAAGATCATCTCGTCCAATCCCCCTGCCGGAGCAGGAGCACCTAGATAAGTTTACACAGGAACGTGTCCAGGTGGGTTTTGAATGTCTCCAGAGAAGGAGACTCCACAACCTCCCTGGGCAGCCTGTTCCAGTGTTCTGTCACCCTCACTGAGAAGTTTCTTCTCAAGTTTAAGTGGAACCTCTTGTGTTCCAGTTTGTACCCATTACCCCTTGTCCTATCATTGTTTGCCACTGAGAAGAGCCTGGCTCCATCCTCGTGACACCCCCCCTTTATATATTTATATACACTAATAAGGTCACCCCTCAGTCTCCTCCAAACTATAGAGACCCAGCTCCCTCAGTCTTTCCTCATAAGGGAGATGCTCCACTCCCTTAATCATCTTAGTTGCCCTGTGCTGGACTCTCTCCAGCAGGTCCCTGTCCTTCTTGAACTGAGGGGCCCAGAACTGGACACAATATTCCAGATGAGGTCCACCAGGGCAGAGTAGAGGGGAAGGAGGACCTCTCTCGACCTACTAACCACCCCCCTTCTAATACACCCCAGGATACCATTGGCCTTCTTGGCCACGAAGGCACAGTGTTGGCTCATGGTCATCCTGTTGTCCACTAGGACCGCCAGGTCCCTCTCCCCTACACTGCTCTCTAACAGGTCGTTCCCCAACCTATAGTGGAACCTGGGGTTGTTCCTGCCCAGATGCAGGACTCTACACTTTCCCTTGTTATATTTCATCAAGTTATTCCCTGACCAACTCTCCAGCCTGTCCAGGTCTCTCTGGATGGCATCACAGGTTTCTGGTGTGTCAGCCACTCCTCCCAGCTTAGTGTCATCAGCAAACTTACTGATAGTACACTCAATTCCCTCATCTAAATCATTGATGAATATATTAAATAATACTGGTCCCAGTACTGACCCTTGAGGCACTCCACTAGATACAGGCCTCCAAGTAGACTCCGCCCCATAGACTACAACTCTCTGGCTTCTCTCCTTCAGCCAGTTCACAGTCCACCTCACTACCTGATCATCCAGACCACACTTCCTCAATTTAGATGCGAGGATACTGTGGGAGACTGTGTCAAATGCTTTGCTGAAGTACGTTATGTTTTTCAGGCACTAGTTTTTCTTATATCAAGGCCCCCCTCCCCTTCTTTCATTTATCTTTACAAATTCTTTTTATATGTAACTCCATTTTGCTCAAGAGTTCTAGCCTTTTTTAACTTCTTGTCTAATCTTGTGTCTTTAGAGAGCTTTGTTTCTGTTATTGTAAGCTGGTACAGTTATAGCCACATAACCATACCTATGATTTTCAAAAACCAATACATATAGGTGTTTATCACATTACTGATACATGGAAACAAATGTACATAACGGGCATTAAACTAACTATTGAAGTTACCACTAGTGAATAGCTCTGCCACATGGAAAGGCATAAAAACATTAAGAAAAATATACTTTTTAGGAATAAGGCACACTTGCTTTTTATTACTGCTATTTACTTTGGACAGTTCTAAGGGAGGGGGCTTGTAATATTCAGAATGCATGGAGTAATGGTATTTTATGTGTAATTTGGTAATATGTCATTTTCATTTGCATAATACAAACAAAATTAGCAAAATACAAATATAGCATAGTATAAATGCACTGCTAGCATGACCAAGGACAGTGAGGGAGTGCAGGTGATGATAGTTTATGAGATGGCTAAATAAAGACAGGTGGAAAATAATTGCATTATCAAAAAATGGGGACACACATTTTCTCACTTCACTAGATCACTCCTTATAGATTGCTTAAGCTCCCCATGAAAAAGACTGAGATACCAGTTGTAAGAAAACAAAACAAAACAACAACAAAAAAAAAAAACACACCAAAAACCAGGCACCTTTTATAAGTAGTTTATATTCTGTTAAGACCAGTTTTCCAAATGGCAAAGGAGTGGTGTATTGGTAGGAGGACTGACAGAAGGGGAGCTCTGAAATGAGTTCTCCAGAACAGAAGAGCAGGCAGTCCAACATGAAGGCTGAGAAAAAACTTCTGCCTGATTTCTCTATTTTGTAGTAAGCAAGGAGAGTATTTTAATTACTTAAAAATTGGGAATGGTTCTTCTGTAGCAGGTATGTGTAAAACAGATTATGACTGATGGGGCTGACAAGAAGTTCACAGTGATGTTTGCTTGGCAGTGACAGGCTTGAAATGTGCCTTCTGTGCCTTCAAGACCATGTCAAACTTCCTCTAACAGCATTTTCCCAATTCACTCTGAGCAAGACCCTACTTACTCCCTTAAACATGGAGCTGTGTTCACTTCAGCATCCTGGGATGGCAGGGATTCCTGCTAACTCAGCAGTAAGACTGAAAGGGTCAAAAATCTGTTCAGAATCAATCATAAATTGTAATAATCTCAGTAATTACAGTAAAGTATTGCTGCTGGAGGGTAATTATGGATTTTTATACACTCAAGCTTCTTTTTATAATCTTGTGAAAAAGCCCCCTTTTATCTCTCTTTTCTTCTCCTGCTTTACTACATACTTCTTTTCATGTGTTGGAGGGGAAAATAAACCCTTTAAAATTATTGAGCTCCACAAAATGGAATAAAATTCTGACTTTAAATGTCAAGGGCTGGGGGTGGGGAAGGAAAGGAGCAAATTTCATCCCTTCTCTTGTGTTCTGAGTACTCAGAAGTCAGCTATGAAATGAAAAACTTTGGGTTTCATGAGTGACGGGTGCGAAGCAGGGTCAGAATCACATGATCTTCAGTAAAACAGGAGTGCACAGGGGTAAGAAATATTCTACAACAATGCTTCATGTTTCAAGCTTTTTTTCTTGGAAAAAAAATATTACCATGCATCCAGTTTTGAGTGTATTTATTACCTTATACAGTATTAGTACAGATTTCGGTAACTAGAAAGTATAAATTGCAATGTAATTACTTTTAAGTTATTTCTCTGTATCTATTATGGGTATCCAGTTATTTGATAAACAGTGCAAAAGTTGAAAATTTGGAGTGGGGCTCATTTTTATGTGCTTGTTTGCTGTCTCAGCATATTTCTAAATGTATGTCTCTTGGCATTAAATGCACAGCCAGGGTAGCATTAGCATCACCCAAAATGTCAAAGACATATTCAGTGTGTAAATAAATCATAGAATTATAGAATATCTCAAGTTGGAAAGGACCCATAAGGCTCATCAGTTCCAACTGCCTGCTCACCTGAAACTAAACCATAGCATCATCTAGATACTTCTTCAGCTCTGACAGGGTTTGAGGTATGACCAGTTCCCTGGGGAGCCTGTTCTAGTGACTGACCATCCTTTCAGTGAAGAATTAAATGACAGTATATGAGGAGTGTTCACAAAACGGTGAAATAAAAAACTGAGAAGGATCAGACATTGCTGAGTTCTGCAAATTCTACTTCATGTATATTTCTTAGGTGCCACCAGTGTTATGAAGAGATTTCAATACTGCTCAGACAATTTGAAGTTAGAATTGCTGCTCTTACAAATCCACATGGCCTCTGCTTGTGGCTGGTCATTAACCTTCAGCCACTGAAATGGCAAATTACTGGATTCTTACCAGAATTGTGAGATTATAATCTCATAAAATTATGTCATCTGGGGGCCATACTGAGGACCCACTGAATAACTGAGCAATACACTGACAGGGTCTAGGACTTCTTGCTGACATGGAGGATTAGGGAAGACTCTGTGTATTGTCATTCTGTGATATAAGAAAACAAAATCCACTTTTCGTGTGGAACATCAGAGCTGTGCATTTTAGTTTCCCCCTAAAGGAACAGGCTGAAGATGAAATTGAATGAGATCCTGGACTGAATCTCAGTGTTTGCTTAACTGCTTCATCAGACATAAACAGGAAACAAGCTATGATTATTCATGAGAAATGTAGAAATCTATTGAATGGGTCACTTTGTTTAGGTTAAAAAAAAAAAAAATCATATCATGAGTGCTTACCAGAAAACACTATAATGTTGTTATAAACGTTCATCATCCCTATTTTGTGTGCATTATATGGCTATTTCTTGCAGAGACTGAAGGAGCTGAAACAGAGGGAGTTTGCTCGAAACATAGCATCTAAGTCATGGAAAGATGAAAGGAAACAGGAGAAAGCCCTTCGACGTTTGCACAAGCTGGCTGAGCTAAGGAAAGAGAGAACATGGTAAGTGCATAACTGCTGAAACAAAAGAATACTTTCAAATAAGCCCTTTGCCTTAGCTCGTGCTGTGGGATGCAAGGCTATTGGAGTCCCTTGTCTGGAGGCCCATGGATTTGTTTGGATGTTATTTTTGAAGAAGTATGTATACAGTAATCTGATTCACACTGCAGAAATGAATGTTTACCCTTGCTTTTTCAGTGGAGCTAAAATGACATGTATTTTTAGTTTAAAGAAAAAAAAAGTTTCATATGTATTTCATGAAACCAGGCACGTTGGTCGAAAGCTGCATGAACATGCATTTGCGGGCTGACACTACTTCATTGATGAGGTGAGGAATACAGTCTGTCTTTCTAGGATGTAACAGATCTCTGCATTTTGTTTTCAAACTGGTCGCCTGGGAAAGTATCCAGAAATCTTGTTTTAAATTTCAGTAACTGGATTTTTGATGTTAAAAGGTAAGTGCTCTTTTCCCCAGCTCAACAGTGTTCACCTCCCTCTACAAAAGTTACTCCTTGCTAATCATACAACTTAGCGTTGCATCTGGGGATAATGTTGAAATTAACATTGACCTTGCTCATTGTGACTGCGTTCTCACTTAAATATGACAGTTATGTCACCAACAAGCCACTGAAAATACATGTACCGATTTCTCACAATGGAATCTCAGTGGGGAAAAGGCAAAAAAAAAAAAAAATAGCTGCTGAAATGCAAATGTCATGAAGGAGTTTATCTCTGAGCTTATTTCTCTATTTAAGAATTGCTGTTTACTACCACTTTGTAGTAAACAGAATGTTTCTTAGAGGTGTGATACAGACAGTCACAGGGTTTTTTAAACTGGTATTTTCTAGGTTGGTTTTACAGAAGTCACCATTTTATTGTGTAAAGAAAGGATTTGTGTGGGGGTTTTAATATATATTTTAAATTTATGAAGAACTGGACAAGGCAGGAATTCTCATGAGAAATTCTTTTCTCATGAAACCTCTACCTTAATTCTAGACCTAGTAGAGTAAGTTAAGCATTCTTTATCTCAGCCCTTCTAGGGGTCCTAAACAACATTTGAAAGTTTCCCCAATGACTCATTATCTAGTACTGCTCTACACTGAAGCACAGAATAATTTGGTTACAAAAAGAAAAAAAGAATGTTGTAAGATAGGTCCATTACTCTGAGTGCTGAGCAGTTCTTGTGGATCCTGGAAACTTGGCAGCTTCAACAGTTTTTGCTCTGCTCTTGGCTTTGTATTAAGTCAAGTAGAACAGATGGGAAGATGAAATGAAGAACAGAAGTAGACAGTGATAATTTTTTTCTCAGGAAGAATGAATCACTTACTGCACTACTGTCAGCTGAAATACTCTCCTTTATATTATTTTGCCATGAAAGAAACTGCTGAGATGGCAATTGTTCAGTCTGTGAACATGAATAGGATGGGAGCTGCTGGGTGACTGCCGATGGGCAGAGCTGCCGTCACTGGGATGATGACTAGGGTGGAAATCATGTGCATGAGGCACTCTGTGGTTTGGTAAATTTTGTAGAACAAAAGAATGTAAAACTTACACTGTTTGTAGTGACAGTCTTGTAATAATGATGATCTACTGGGAGGAGAAGCAACATTTTTAGATAAATTAATAGTCTCTTATTGGGACAGGCAGGGTGTCTAGGAAAAGTGAGCTACTTCATAGGGGTCTCAGCCCTTCAGCTGCTAACTTCACATGAAGGAACTGGAGGCACAATATCTACTTTCTTTTTTTATTCTAGTCAGGTGACCTTACTGTAAAAGATGATTTTTTTTTCCATATTCTAAGTTTACATATCCTCAGAACCTTTGTCTTTTGTTAAAAAAAAAATGTTGTAGATACCCATGTGATTCCATATTTCTGTCTGCAGCTCTCTGAAAGGTACTGACTCCAAGTTTTATTTTCCTTCCTAGTGCTCCTGGAAGTGGCCCTATGTTCAAATCTACTACAGTGACTGTGCGAGATCATTGCAGTAATATCCCCCAAAGTGCTTCCATAGATTCTTCCAACAATCAGGATTTAATGCATGATACACAGAATGGTGAAGATGTTGCTTCTGTTACTTCTTCCATTCCTGGAAATGCCTGTAGTAATAAATCCGACAGTAACAAATGTGGAGATGAGGTTCAAGGAGCTCAAGGACATAGAGCTGGTTTCTCTTTTGCTTTTCCCAAGAAAGCAGTGGTCAAACTGGAGTCTTCAGCTGCTGTTTTCTATGAATATAATGACGAGACGTCTATAGAGCATGGATTTAGCAGAAGAAGTAGGTTTGTTCCAGGAGCATGTAACATTCAGTCTCCTTCAGTGGCAGAAATAGTCCTGTGCCCTGAGGAGAAACATAGCTGTTTTCACCCACTGGTGGAAAAATGCATAGGCACAGCAGAAGCTCCTAAAGCTCAGGAGCCAGAAAAACTGCCTGGTGAAGAAAGCGGTGTGCTGGAGTCTCCTGTCTTAACTCCTGCTGCATCTCATTCAAAGCAGCTGGTTTCCTTGGACATGGCTAGCTATGGCATTGATGTGCATGCAGCAGACGTAATGGACCAAACGCTGCCCATGGCTGTGGACAGTGCTGAGGTCCTGAGCCTGGACTGCAGTGGGTATGAGCTGCAGGCAAACAGGGCTCTGGCACAAGCAATTGTGGCGGACTCTTTATTTCTGCAGGATGTTGCCGAGGAAAATGATACAGATAGTAACAGTGATCCGTCCATGACTAAAACTGAAATAAAAAGACTGGTTGCAGATGTATCAGTTCCATCAGCATCTGAAGAAGGTAGTGGTGAAACCCCACAAAGCAAACCGGACATGCACAAGAGACCTTGTGAACCCTTTGTTCCTGTTCTTAGCAAACACGGATCAAATATTCTTCAGTGGCCATCGGAAATGTTAATTTACACAAGTACAGACCCATCAATTTCTTACAGCTGCAATCCTTTATATTTTGATTTCAAGTTATCAAGAGCAACTGACACCCAAGAAAAGCCCAAGCATCAGCCAAACATACCTCATTTGCACCATAAAAGTGAACCCAACCATAGCTTAGTCTTGAATTTTACAAATAAGCCTCCTTCAGATTGTGGTGATTATGAAGCAGAAATTAATAAAGATGTGTGTGACTATACAATACCCCTTATAAGTGACGATTCCCTCCTCATAAATTGTGATCTTGCAAAAAATCAAAATAAAGTGTCTTTGGATGAATCATTCAGGATTAGAAAAATAGAAAAGTATCACATTTCTAAAAATCACTTACGACAAAACACTGTGATAGATGAGAAATGCAACAAAATCTGGATCAAAGAAAGCCATGAAAAATGGCTTCACAAAAGTAGAAAACGAAAAAGAAAATTGTATCACCATCATCATCACTGTGGGGACATGACAACAGCAGAAATGGAGATGTCCTCAATGAGTGAAAAAGAATTCAGTTACCAAGAGGAAAACAAATATGAGCACCTCCAAAATAATCCAGAGAAGTGCAAATATGATGTGAGGAATATCTGGCTAGCTGCAGGTAAGCTACAGCATTCACATCAAAAACTTGATATTGAAAATGGTCATAAGAGAGTCAAGTCTGCAACACATCATGTACATGGGGACAGAGGCCGGTGTGATGTTTGGAGTGCAACCAGCAACCAGCACCATCGTTGTAAGCGATGGCACAGAAGGAGCAGAGCAAGTTCTCAGGTATATGCAAAGCAGCTGGCTCTGAGTTCAAGGAGGCACAGCCTCAGGTACGCTAAAACATGTTGTAGCTGGAAAGTCAGGAGGTCAAGCTGTAGCCCAGAGCATAAGTGTTTAGGACACTGCAGTGTGGAAAAGACTCTGAGTCAAAAACAGTCCATAAAGAGAGGTTACAGTGTTCTGACAGAAGAAACAAAGAAATCCCACTGCAAGCGGAGAGAGCATATCTATTCCTCTTCATCAGAAGAAAGCTCGTATGAACAAACATTATCAGCAGAGGAATATCTGAGGCAAGCTCAAACTATAGGTGCACGTCACAAGACAAAAGGGAAACAAAGGAAAAGAAAAACCAGAATCCATCACATATCCCTTGACAGTAAAGCAAGGAGTGAGAACTCCAGACCTTCCACAGAAAGTTCTGCAAATTCTACATTAGATGTTTTGAGGGACCTCTCTACTCAAGACAGTCTAGAGGAAGTTAGTGCAGATCCCAAAGCTGATCGTGCAAAAGACACAGACGAAATGGCGCAACTGGAGGAAAGCAAGTCATCTCTAGACACTGACAGTTCACACGTGTTAGAACGCAATGAACCAAGGGTGTGCACAGTAATGGAGAACACGCCAGGTGTATTTTCTGATGTTGTCACTGTGCCTCTTCCTGAGCACTGCGCTCCAGCAGCTGCTAGCACTCAAGGTGTTCTCCAAGAGGAAAAGAAGGAAGAAGAGGTCAACAGTCATGAAAATCAGGCTCATTACAAACCTCCCCTCCACAACAGACATTTGGAACAAGTTCCTCCTAGATCCTATGTTTGCCATTATGAATTGGCCGAGTCTCTACCACATGAGAAAATAAATGAGGTGACTGGTGAATGGGTACAGTGTAATCCTGGTATATTTGGCAGCCTACCACCCTTGCCACTAAAGGAAGCACATATAAACAGTCACACTTTTTTAACTACAGAGCAGTTACTAGCCCCTTTTACCCTGCCTGATCAGACACTGATATTCCCTCCAGACAAACACGACAAATTCAAAGATCTCCCGTCTGAGGCCTATCAGCAGATCATGCCACAAAACATACTGGCCAGCAAAGTGAAGTTCACCTTCCCTCCTACAGCAATCCAGCCTCCGAATTCCCCGCTGCAGCCTGTACCCCTGCAGCCGCCACTGTGCTCTACCTCCGTCACCACCATCCACCACACTGTCCTACAGCAGCATGCCACTGCTTCACTGAAGGTTCTCCAGCCCCACCAGCAGTTTCTCTCACAGGTCCCTGCTCTTTCCCGATCTCCTTTACCTCATGTGCCAGTAGGACCAAGGCTTTGCCCAGGGGTTCACACAGCTTTTGTCACAGCGCCGCACTTGCCACTGCTGCCACCCTCAGTCTTGTCACCAAGCCCGCTGGCATTCCCACCGCTGCCACACACCATGTTCCCATCCCTGCTGTCCCCACACCCTACTGTCATCCCCCTGCAGCCCCTCTTTTAGAATGGGTTCTCAGGGCTGGGGGAAGGAGCCCTCAGCTCAGTGTCCTGCTGCTTCTACAGCCCCCCTCAACTTTGCAGGATGGTTCTGTGAAATGAACTTTTTAAAATTCCTTGTTCCTTGGAAAGCATTTACTGTAAGTACAATGATGCAAACATTCATGTTGAGTTCAGACCTGTACTATAACAAAAGCACTAAATAGTATGATGCTAATATGAACTCTCTACATGTAAGTGAAAAACATGTCTTAGAATATGTAGAATGTAGATAAAATACATTTATAGTTCTATAACTTATGTTGTAAAGTATTCACTTTTTCGTTTTTATCTTTGTGTATTTGCACCTATTTAATGTTTAGACAAAGCTGATGCACTATGTTTTGTACTATGTCCTCTGAAACTGTAAATCTAGTGACAAACTATCTCTTGCAATAAATTTTTGTTAACTACTTAAGTATGTAAAAAAATCTTTCATTATGAGCCTCATGGATGTTGTTCTTCCATGGTTTTGTGCAGCTGAATAGCATCCTCTGCCCCTACTCTGTTTGAATACTCAGGTTTCCTATGCATCGGTGATTTATCAAGGAGGCTCAGAGGCTAATACCTTGAGGTATTGTCTCACCGAGCAAGAGAGGAAGGTTAATGTTTGTGTTAGCAGCTTAATGTTACCATGATAAATTGTGCCTACCTGTAATATGTGCGCAAACTGCTCACTGTTGGAGCTAATCCCTTTTGTACTAAACCACAAAATGATGATGTAACAAAAATGACATCAATGATGGGCCTGGGGGGAATGTCAACAGCAGATTGACTTCAGGGGAATATTGCTCACACTGGAATGGTGGAGCACAGGGAAGGTCTTGGTTCTACCATAGCAGTTGTGCTGACTGCACACAGCCCTCAACAGGGCAGATCTGTTTGGGTGAGGTCCTTGCTGCCTGTGCAGTGTGTGACAATAACAAGGACGCATGAGTATGAAGGGAATGTCAGGAGGAGGGGGAAACCCACCAGGGTTTGAGACAGATTCTCACCTCACTTCCACCCTCTCTTTCCTGACGCAATTTGCCAAAGTAGAATAACATTGAATAGAGATCAGCTAAAATAATAATATACTGCCATTACTTCTAACTCTATTTCAGAGACTTCTCCCTACCTCTGCAGTCTGTTTATTGCTGTTGAACCTCACCCAGCTTTAGCCAGTGAAATCTCCACATTTGCTTTATTTTTGGATCTATCAGGCCCACACCTGTGACGGACTACAACAAAACCGAAGACATTCTGAGATAGAGCCATCTTTTTGAGTTAGTGCTAGAAGTAGGCCCTCTGTAATGGAAGGTAGGTGTTAGCAATCCAATTAATTACTTAGCTTCACCTTTTTATATAGTATAATAAAATTATATGAAGTTGAACTTAAAGAGTAGTAATTTTGGAAGATTATTAATATGCATTACATATGAATAGCTACAGATATTAATCATTTGAAAAGTAATATTATAACTTAAGACATATATATGGATATTACTTTCTGCATCTATAGCATTAGAACTTACCTGTGTCAATAATGCAAGTTTTTATATAATATTACATTAAAACTATAGCAAATGACATCTTGTCACTATAATTGCAGTGTCAGCTACTCAAGGAATGTGAGTTTTCCCTGTCTTGCAGTTACAAAGGGCTAAAGTATGCCAATAAGCAGAAAGCTGATAAGAAAGAGCAGTTGAGATATCAGGGTCTGGAGAGCGACTTGGATCCCCTGACTGAGGCTGTATCATGGAACAGGATGTTGCTGTCCCTGTAATGCCATAAAGAAGGTATATTTTCTCTATTTGCAATTTCAGGTGAATACCTGTTTCTATTTATCTGGTACCTGAAAAAACATAGCATAGAAGTGACTTTATACACCTTTACTTTGCAAGTATGCCTACATAATCTATATGTCTCCACTACTGCCTGTGATATGTAGGTATCAAGCACGTGCTAAACACAGGAATATCTGAAGTGGGAAGGATCATGCCAGCTCCCTTAGCTGACTTCTGCATTTCTGTCCTTCTGTGTAGCAGCTAACACAGACAGTCTGTTGGGTTCTGATGTCTCAACAAAGACAAAAACTATATAATTATATGAGTACACTTGAAAAAAAGTAATGTAGGAAAATCATGATTGCATGTTATCAGATCCATGCATTTTTATCTGGCAGATGAAAAATCACTAATTTCAGTTTTTCAGTTGCAACATTCATTGAAAAATCCCATCTTTTAAATGCAGAAGTCCACATTTTTTTAACAAAATGTACCAATAGCTTTAAATTTAATTTTTTTCCTTACAATCTTCTTCCTATTTTAAGTTGTTAAACTTTGAAGACATTGCACAATTATTTGTTATCTACTGTAACTGCTTTAAGTGTATAAACTACTTAACACTAAGAACCAAGTGTACTCATACGCTATTGCTTGGATCGCTAGAGCTGTTTATATATATGACTTCATTTGTAAAAGCAAAGCCAATATAAAAATAAATCACAAGCTAAATTTAAAATTGAACATACTAAATTAAATGACCTAATGAAATATTCTTTTGAGTTTTTCTTTTATTATTAAAGATATAACTTCTAGTAGGTTATATAAGGGTAGCTCTTCTTGTTCATGTTCTATCTGATATTTTAGGTTAAATGTGTATTTTTCTTCCATAACTTGTAGGTAAAAACTATTTCAAATGCTAAATTATTGATTTTTTTACCATTCTAAATAAATTCCACAAAATTTGTTTAATGAATTTATGGTTGAATTTTCAAATTTACACAGATTGAGTGTGTCTATGCTTCTGGCCAGTTTTCCAATTTGTATAACTATTGGTCTGTCTTCCTACTGTAAACAGGCAAAGTGGTACACAGAATTGAAGGAATTAAACCTTCAGATCTAAACCTAAACAAGGTTATAGATTTTGTTAAGTGATTTCCCAGACCAGCTCTGCAGAGAAATTCCTTGGAAAGTTAATCTGTTCTGCTGAGGTGAGAAGAGTACCTTTGTTTGGTCCTTGGAAAATTGCAGTCTGCCCAGACCATGATCTTCCTGGGGATGTCCCATTGCTCAGGTAATGTGACCCACACAGTCATGCTCTGGAGAAGCTTTGGGGCATTAAGGAACATACAAGACAATGTCTTGTAGTGGTACGCAAACTAGCAGCTCTGCAAGTTTTGAATTACTGCAGAGCTATCACCACATTTCAGATTCTACAGGAGTGAGTGGTAGGTTCTCATTTATGGAGAAACTGTTGACCACAATCATTGGTAAAAACCCCACCTTTTACAGTGTTATTGAGTGATACTGTTTTCATCATTTGCTATAATCAAACAGCAATGAAATCATTATGAAGCAACATCTTTGTTTGCCATGTTAGATTTATAGCAGCTCATGTATTCAGGCTAAGTTTTAAAAGGCCATTGGGACATCCATTTTTCTTTAATATCCTACTATACATGATAAAATGCAGCTTATACAACACACAGCATGGCTATAGATTCTTTTGTCAAGTTAATTTTCTATGACTGTGCATTTTTCTCAAAATACTTGGTTTTTGTTGTGATAATATTTACTTCATGTGCTGCATTTAAAATACACCTGTAAGAATAATATGGCCAAACTCTTCATCAGTGTAAATCAATACACAACTTCTGACTTCAGTGAATTTCACTGATTTGTACCAGCCCAAAATCGCTCATGTTGCAGTGTTAAGAATTTTGCGAATTTGCTTGGTTAAAGCAATAGGTTATGACCATGTGAATGTATTTTGAAGGCATTTATTTGTTTGTATCTAAGGAGGTAAATTTTAATCTCCTGGGTATTGTACTGTGGTGTTCCTGGTCTACATGTTCTAAACACCACACATTCATTTCCTGATTTCCCTTACTGTGCATTGCCTAAAGACTCCTGTATGTGTAGCAGTGCACACATTTATGCAATATGCCTACCAGATATACAATTTTACAAAGCTATATTAACTCTATTGAAAGTAAAGACCTTTTTACTGTATAAAGATCATTTGATATTTTTTAATTAACATGGCTTAATCTCTTAATGTGTATGTTATTTTATAGAGCACTGAATGCTTGCAGCAGGCATGGTTTTGTATATCATTTTATGTCCTTCCTTCTCCCCTTTACTTCAGGAACACTAAAGCTTTCTGTTTTTCTGTAAGATTATCAGAGTGTAGTGTAATGTATCTATTTCTGAATATGAACTAGGCTTCTTTATTACTTCTAACTGCAAAAATTAGTGTACCAACTTTAAGAATTATCTTATTTTTGCTTCAAGCTTCTGTTTCATTTTATGGATTGTACAAGGTTGCGAGAATTTCTACCCTGAGTCTGAAGTTTGACCTGTTGGTAAAATTCTGAAACCAGTGAATTCTTAAGACAGTTTTGCCATTAATGTTGCTGAGGACTTACTTTGTCCTGGGGCATTAGGGCACTTTATTTATTAGAACTCCCTAATACTCGCTGCTTTCACTAGAATAATAATTTCATAAAGTATGAGGAGGAGCACAGACCAGTAAGGAGAAATTCATCCATTTTACATCAGTCCTTTGTTGATGTGTTTTTGTTGTAATGATATTTTTGTAATTAATGACCATAAGCGTATGTCCTTAAAATTTCTGTTCTGTATCAGCAGTGTTTTGAAACACATACATGCACCTTCTATTTGATACCAAAGAAAAAAACAGATTTAGTAAATGTGACTAAATTCATACAGTATTTAGATAAAGAGTCAGTAGTCTTTAATGGGATAAGATCAGAATGTGCAAATTCATGTAAAGAATATAATAATAATAAATTAAGCTTCAAATGTGACTCCACAATGGATATAGTATTATTTGTATGAATTAAAGAAGGTTACTATTAAATCAGTAGTGGTGTTTGTTTGCTATGAATGAGATTTTTAGAGCTAATTTATTTTCCTTTTTTTTTTTTTTTCTTCAAAAGAAGGAGGTAACAGGAAAATACTTTCAAAAATGCATATTTAAAAATCAGCTATAGGTAGAACCTGCATCCTTTTTCTCAGGGATGAGAAACAGCAAGTAAGTATTGTGCATTCAAAGAAACACTTTTTCTAAAGAAACTTCTTGCATTTCTAATTCAGTTTTATCTTGGTTTAGTCTGGTGAAATCTGGGAAGAATTAGGGTAAAACATAGAAAGTTCTACCTCAAAAGGGCAAGATCCTTTTTTTATATTGTAAGAAATGAAACTAATTTAAATTAATATATTTGCACTATGGTAAATGTGGAGAAAGCAAAGCTAATTTTTTTCTCGCAGTGTAATTCAGATTTAGCAATGTAGTTCAGACCCAAAACCTTCATGCATGTAACAGACTTTTATAAATGGCTTTTATGTCAGTGGAGTGCTGGCAAGAACAGCAGTAAAATCCAATCTCTTCTCTCATGTCGATAATGCCTGTTGAAATGAAAAGGAGGCAAAGACTGAAAGGAGGTAAACCTGAATCTGTCAATGCCTAAATAATACTTTTTATCTGTGGAACTGTAATTGGAAATAGAAGTTTACTTGAATTTTAGTGTTTGTACATATACAGGTGTGCCTGTGAGTGTTGCCATGCACATAATGGGCTACTAGTTGAGGAGTCTTTTATTCTAGGCATAATTTTGCACCTGTAATTAAGCTGTAAGAGTTGCTTGTTTGAAATGTACATAATAGAAGAGACCGTTGAAGGGAGAAATATTCATAATGAGCAAGAGTAATAATAATAATAACATAATAATAAATATATTAATTATAAAATTATTATTGTTGTTGTTATTTACATGCAGTATAAAATATCCTGAGATCTATAATATCTATGCAAATCAGTCCTGTGAATCACCAGTCCTGTACTGGGAGCAAGGCTACATTCTGGGCAGTAGGTTATTGAGTGTGAAATACGAACAGCCTTCAGAGGAGTAACAGTGTTTGTCACTCTGAAGAATGTCTTGAGCACAAAAGAAAGTGGGTTTAGGGGAAAATATGCAGGTACTTTTGGAGGAAAAAGAAGGGGAGCTGAGCGGGACTGAACCTGGCAATATTAGTGGAGATGAATGACACTGCAGAGAGACAAGGGAGGCTGGGTGAGAGGGTGCACTGCTACAAGGGTTTTTACAGACAGCTTTAATAAACTCTATCCGAGCCTGCAAAGAGTGGTGATAATTAATCTCTGGAACCCCCTTTGTCCTTTTATTCAGTTCTCCTTGGGGGTACTTTTACTTTCTAACCCCTGGAAACCAAGCAATGGGATTTCCTGACACAGCATTT